CCAAACATTTTCTTGTCACCGAGCCTCGTTGGGACCCCCGAAAAATCCACTGTATGTCAAATTCCCGCTTTTCCCAACACTGAAAAAGGTAGTGGCGGTTTAGTATCTCTTCTCCTTCCCCCCCATTCCCGCCCCCTCCAAAAAAAAGAAGTGATAAGTTGAGGAAGACAAGTGATGATAAATTGAGGGTAATAAATTAAGGAGCACAAGTGGTGATAAGTTGAGGAAGACAAGTGTAAATTTGGGTTTGACAGTTCTGTGATGAGGGGTTTCAGTACCGTTTCCCTTTTTTTTTTGGCAATAGTCGAGATGACATTGTTTGGAGGAAGTAAAATGGTAGATGATTTCAATTTTGGAGTAGAAAATGTATAAGTGTTTGGTGAACCAAAAATGATTTTGCCTAAAGAAATATGGCGAAGTGACAATAATCGAGTAAAAGTTTTTTTTCTTGAATTCAGTAAATGGAGGGTACGCTGTAGCAATTACAGGTCCTAAGAGTCTTCCAAAAAGCCGAAAGTTTTTCATAGTCAATTCAGAATGTTCTCAATCTCAAAAATGAATCCGGAAGTCAGGTCTCTCCAGAATCCGCCTCATTTATGGGAAGAAGGTTTTCCATTGTAATTTTGCGAAACTTTGTCGTGGAGTTGTGGAAGTTTGTTCAGTGATGATGGCCATTCTGAGACTCAGTGAACTGGTCGAGTGCAGAGAGCATGTTGGACCCACAATGTTGTCCTCTTTGTCGTTATGTTTCTTGGTGCTCCTTTTTTCCTGTCTTGGCTTTTATAGTGGTTGATGAAGGTGTATGGAGATCATCCGAAAGTAATGACGAGGTGGCCATTTCATTGTTTCTTGCTCTTCAGAACCGAATTGAAAGGTAATCTGTCCCGGCTGGATCGTACACCTTGCAGTTTCCAAGTTCCTGAATATCAGACCCTCTGAGACCGGTTCAGCTGCAAAGGCACATGATGAGATATGTAGTTGTCATCGACCCTGGTTGGGTGCGTTGCGTAACATTCTTTTGTGATTTATATCAATTCAGAAAAAAAAGTCCTCTTAGTGCCTTAATGATACACACATGTAACTGTCAGTAAACAGATTACGAGTTTTAATCCTGCTGAACTGAGATGAATACAATAATGTTTGGGGCAACCCCATTTCAGAAAGGAAGCAATAGCCTCTTAGTCTGCGTGTGGTTAGTGCCCGAGGTCTACCTTTTTTAATTCCCTTCTGTCGCGGGGTTTCCTTGATTGCCAATGCATGGTATCCAGCGGCCTAGCTCAGTTGGTACGGCACGCAAGTGGCATTCAGGAGATCTTGGGTTCATCCCCATTGGCCTTATGTACCTTCCTGGGCAAGCTTGGCACCCGCCACCTAGAGATATGCCGTTGGTCCCCCCGAGTGGCATTGCGCAGAGATTGCTTATGTTCATAGGGGGAGGGGACCGGAGGGGAGGCCCAGTGACTGGCCCATCGAAGAAGATCGGTCCTGATGCTACCGGCTGACCCCTGGCCGGTATCCCACCTGCTGTAGCAGGTATCGCACCAGCTGGTGGGTGCAGCTCTCGCATGTTCCCTCGTTGGAGGCTTGAGCACGGATGTGGCTGCTACTGGGTTCCCCTTATAATACTATAATGACAATAAACAAGGCCTGAAACGCCATCCTGTCCAGATTCGACAGGTAATTGAATTGGTTGGGCTAAAAAATTAGCCTTAAATTTTTTTTTTTTTTAAATCACTGAAACCTCTGACAATCTAAGCCAGTCTCAGGAAGGTGTCACATTTTATTTTCGGCTTCTCAGTTCAGAGCCCTCCTTGTATCTCCATCTGCTGCGGAGTTCCATTAAACAACTACTACTCCCATTTCGTCTGAAAGGTCGTGGCGGTATACACGCAGGCAGCGATGGGTTGGCCTACCGACTGCAGGGGGTGTTGCTGGCAGTGAGAAAATTTTGAGTGCACTGACTATGGTGACTTCTTATGCTATTTTTGACGTAAAACTAGGGTTGTTGACTGAGTTTTGGGATATCCGTATGGCAAAAAAGTGAAGAAAAAAACATCGTAGTGACAGAACAATGCATCTTAAAAAAAAGATTGTCGATATAAATCATGCTTGTAGATTGAGTTTTGGGGAATTCGAATGGCCAAAAAACATTCTCTCAGCAAAATTACACATCAATAATATATAAAATTAAAATGGTCAGAAGATTCAGAACATATACTACTTTTGAAAAAACTCAAAAAAGTACACAGGTTCGGTACCTTCGCGTTGGGAGTATAGTGGTTTAATAATGACCAATGCTGTTACATACTTCAATGAGTATGGGCAGAACCAAAGATCAACCAATATAGGATGAGCATTTATGCAGCGGAAGTCTGATAACGAACTGACTCACATAGACTGACTCACATAGACTGACCTACATGGCATCACTCCACACACATACAATCATGAGAT